CACACACACACACACACACACACACACACACACACACACAGCCGTGTACAACCCTTGGGCCAGTTTTGTCAGCTCTTCGCTGCTTTTCTGAGCACAAACACACAATACATTGTATCCTTGCATCTCCAGCTCTCCCTCTGCTCCTATTGCCACCATTTACAGCATACAAGCACAGGGCATGCTGGGAGAAATATTAGTTCAATCGGACAGCGGTGGCGGCTTGTTGTTTGGAACAAGGATGGAAGAAGGGAAGTGCAGCAACAAAGTCATTGTAGATTAAGTTAAAGGAGAAATATGTATGCAGTTACACTGTCTACTTTATGTAAAATTGATTTTCCACCAAACTTTATAATGTTGTTGTTTTGTGGAGAAAAAGCTGAATCATCACAATAAAACATTTTGTGTGGTTAGATTTCTGTCTTCTTCATTCTTTATAACCCACATCAACTCAGTGTTTAAGGTACTAAAATACCTGATAGAGCCTCATAATGATTTAAATGGAGCCTTGGGCTTTTTTATTTCCTTTCAAGGTGACTGAACCTTATTATACCATAGCATATGCTATTTCAACTCAACACCAAACGTAAATTCTGACTTGGGCTGCATGACTCTGAGGAATTCCATTGTGATGTTTAGTTTTATTTTAACATGTTACAGCATAAAACATTACTAGTTCACATCATTAGCTTTGTTGGAAATGAATTAATTTAATTTAGAAGTAAATCTAGATTCCCTGTTTTGAATATCTTAGCGAGCCTTTTTTCTGTTATTTAATATTAGACGGTTAGTTTTGGTGCCCTGAATGCTGGAGAAGAAGCCCTTCTGTTCCTTCTACAGATGGGTTGTTATGATTACTCCCTTCTGTAGGAGTGAGAACATTTCAAGGCTCACAACTGAACTGTAACCCTCGGTTTTTATTGTCTAACAAGGAAGAGATAAAGCGGAAAGAAAATGCACACAGAAGGGCCTTTGCAGAAAGCTGAAAACTGCAGAGGGAAAAAAATTCTGTTTGGCATCTACAGTACATTTTCTACCTTCAACATAGTTGTGCTTGTAATTAAAACAGGGAAACCAAGTGCACTAACAACAAAAAAGGGAGTTTATCAGACATTTCTTTTGGAGATTCATGCACATTAACCCATTGCAGTGTTGATGCTCAAACAATATCTTGTACAAAGCAGATTTAAAACACAATTCAGTCTTTAATCAGTAACATATAAATACCAAAGTACAACTTATTTTGTAATTTCAACCACATCTCACAAGCAGGAGGCATTGGCATGTAAACCAGGGCAAAAGCAGTGACTGGGGTCTTTCAACAACAGGGGGAAGATCAAAGAACTCTGAGCTTAATTTATTGATAGTAAACATGCAAAGCTGAAAAAAGCCAGCATGAGATTTTTGAAAAGCTTAGATTATACTGTTGCATTCGCATTTCCATGATAACAGAGTGAGATTTGTAATGATTTGAATTAATTAAAGCTTGAAGCGGACTCTTATCCACATGAATTCATCATGGGAATAATGGCATGTACCAAAATGTATGTGTGAATGTAAAATATGTATGTTTTCCTTCGGTTTAAGTGTGTAGAGAGGCTGATGGGCCTTTTGGTCTTTGTAAAAGAGCAGACACGTCATCAAAGATCCTCATTACGTCTCTCCTATTCACCTGGCTGCTCCTTTGTATTGTCAGCTCTGGGGAGTAAAGAAAGTGTCTGGGTTTTGATGCTGAGCTGGAAGGATGCTGCGGGGGAGAAATCTTAGTGTCTACTTTGTGTATGAGCACCTTTAAGACAGTTTTGAACAGCGAGTAGCAGCTCAGTGTACGTTGTATTCATTTGGTGATGGTGGATCACTGACTGTATTGATTTAATTGAGTTAGACAAAATCTGACTGCATGAACACGGTAACCAGAAAATTTTACGGAATTCCTTTTAAATTCTCAGGCAGCGTTTGCTTTTACTCTGTAGGGACAAAATAACAAACATAAATGTGCTTTACAAAATAACATATGGTGAAAACATATCTACAGCGGGTAAAATAAGTATTGAACACGTCACCATTTTTCTCAGTAAATATATTACTAGAGGTGCTAATGTGAAATTTTCACCAGATGTCAATAACAACCCAAATGATCCATACATACAAAGAAATCAAACCACAAATGTCCAGAAATTAAGTTATTTGTAATAACGTGGAATGGCACAGGGAAAAAGTATTGAACACACTTACTGAATTTTATCAAATACTTTGTACAAAAGCCTTTGTTGGCAATGACATCTTCAAGACGCCTCCTGTATGGAGAAACTAGTGGCATGCATTGCTCAGGTGTGATTTTGGCCCATTCTTCCACACAAACAGTCTTCAAATCTTGAAGGTTTCCTGGGTCTCTTCCATGAACTCTGATCTTTAGTTCTTTCCATAGATTTTCTGTTGGATTCAGGTCAGGTGATTGGCTGGGCCATTCCAGCAGCTTTAGTTTCTTTCTCTGAAACCAGATGAGAGTTTCCTTGGCTTTGTGTTTGGGCTCATTGTCTTGCTGAAATGTCCAGCCACGTTTCATCTTCGTCATCCTGGTAGATGGAAGCAGATTTTTATCAAGAATGTCTCTGTACATTTTTCCACTCATCCTTCCTTCAATTATTTGAAGTTTGCCAGTACCATATGCTGAAAAACAGCCCCACACCATGATGTTCCCACCTCCAAACTTCACTGTTGGTATGGTGTTTTTGGGCTGATGTGCAGTGCCATTTGACCTCCAAACATGATGTGTATTCTGGCATCCAAAGAGTTCAATTTTGGTCTCATCTGACCAGACTATATTCTCCCAGTATTACACAGGCTTGTTTAAATGTTGTGCAGCAAACTTTAAAGGAGCTTCAACATGCTGTTTCTTCAGCAGTGGAGTCTTGCGTGGTGAGCGTGCATACAGGCCATGGTGGTTCAGTGCATTACTTATTGTTTTCTTTGAAACAATCGTACCTGCTAATTCCAGGTCTTTCTGAAGCTCTCCACAAGTGGTCCTTGGCTCTTGGACAACTCTTCTGATCATTCTTTTCACTCCTTTGTCAGAAATCTTGCGAGGAGCACCTGGTCGTGGTCGGTTTATGGTGAAATAATGTTCTTTCCACTTCTGAATTATGGCCCCAACAGTGCTCACTGGAACATTCCGAAGTTTAAACATTCTTCTGTAACCGATGCCATCATTATGCTTTGCAACAATAAGGTTGTGAAGGTCTTGAGAGAGCTCTTTACTTTTACCCATCATCAGATGGTTCTTGTGTCATACCTGGTCATCATTTGGGACTGAACCAGCTGATATTAACTTGCACTGACAAGGGGCAGCTTGCTTTCTAATTACTGAGAGAGTTCAGCTGGTGTCTTGGCTTTCCATGCCTTTTTACACCTCCCTTTCTTCATGTGTTCAATACTTTTTCCCTGTGCCATTCCACATTATTACAAATAACTTAATTTCTGGACATTTATGGTTTGATTTCTTTGTATGTATGGATCATTTGGGTTGTTACCGGCATCTGGTGAAAATTTCATGTCATTAGCACCTCTAGTAATATATTTACTGTGAAAAATGGTAACGTGTTCAATACTTATTTTACCCGCTGTATATATATACAGTATGTATTTTGCCAAATGATATGGAATGAAAGAGACAACAAATAATGCTCAGTTCGAACTTAAATCTTCTTTACCACCTTTAGATGCCTAAAACATTGAGTTACTACCAGATCTACTGATTAGGTATTTTTCCTGACAAGCAATTGAACAGGTGTACCCAAGAGTGTAGATCTGACACATTCAGACATTTGTGGTGTTGTAGCCTCGAAAACTTGGAAGGTCCTTTAAAGGTAAATTTATTGTGTATATCTTATAACTAGAGTAAGTATTTCAGTGTTTTGCAGTGGTGATAGTTGTTGGGCACGCTAACAGATATGTATATATGCAGCAAACATGTAAAGCAGAAAAGAGATTTGTTATCAACACTTGCCATTTGCCAGTCCTTTATCTAAAACCAGGCCACAGGAAAACTGGTTTTGCCGCTTTTCCTTTTGCTGTATTCAAATATCCTCTTCACTTCCAATTTTTCCTCCAAAGGCATTAAGTCATACAGGTGAGACATTAAATAATCCACCTTGTTAATCTTGTTTACCATCTTACCTACTCAGTCTAGGCCCAAACCACACCCACATACACTCATGCTCGGGACACATATCCACACTCATTGGCTAAAGCCTGTTACCTTTAGACTGACCCTGGGCTGAACGTAATTAGCCTCGATGAGCTGTGACAAGACGTCTGTCAATCATTCTTTACCATGAAAAACATCAAATGAACAGGGCTGTGAAAAGTTAGCCCTTTGGATAGACTCTGGGATTTGTTTGACATCAGTTTTCTTACAAAATGTGATACAGTATTTTTAATTTGGACCTATTAGGTATTTAAAAAAATATATTATCTAGAAAACTGCAAGAAAACTATAGAAGTAATAAAACAAATGCATCTCTATTAAAGATGTATTAAAATACTTTTAGGCTGTAAAAAAAACATGTATTTAGTTATTGACAGTTCTTATTTTCTTATTGTGGACATTTGAATACATGCATATTAGAATTATTGACTGCATTGATTTATAAATTATGTTTAAATAATGACATTTTGAAACCTTTATTATCTTTCTTAAGGTACCCCAGGCCTGCAGATGCAGTTCAGAGTAGATAACAGTTTCCTGAGACCAGGAGAGAAGTGCTGGTTCCTTCGCTACCTTGCCCTCCACACCATGCACATCGACATCTGGGACAGTGACTCATTGCTTCTTATTGGCTCCACTGCTGTTGAGCTCAAGGTAAATGAGTAGGAAGTCAATGCAGTCAATCTGTGGAGTTGATTTACTCGTGTGTTATACTGACTGTTGACACGAGCTGTAGTAGTATTAGAACATGAGTTATTAATCAGGTCTGAATGACATTTTTAATTGCCCCATCAGTCAACGGTGTATAAAGCAGCTTTCTGTTTGTATTTTTGTTGTTGAATTATTGCATTCTTACACGTTTGTCATGGATTAACACTGCATTTGTTAGCTTTTTTTGGGCACATTTAGTGGAAAATCCAGCAGAGAAAACTAATCTCAAAAACAAGTTATCCAAACCAAGAAAACAGTATCACCAGTTTTGCTGAAAATTGGATTTTTTTCTAAAAATGTAGTAAGATCAGAACATTCCACCTCATTTCATATTCACAAACCTAAAAAAAATACATTTTGTTTCAACTGAAAAGAAGACATGAGTAGAAAATGTATCCTTTGTTTTTGGTTCAGTAAGCTTGAAAGCAACCCAGGGCCATTTAGTGCTTCTTTTTATCCATACGTTAAAGGATTAAATCAACACATATGTAGCTCTTTTGAACATATGGCTATAAACAAACGTAAATCAAGCAGAACTGTGTTGACATACAGCGTATAATTCATTCATTCATTTGTTTTATTGTCTTTATTCATTCTTATTGTGTATTTAGTAAAGAAAATATTTTTTAACATTTTTTTTTCTTTTCTGTTTTGCATCTCCAGTACATGTTGCGTCATGGTAAATCTGCTGTTCAGGCTCTTCACGAATTAGAAGTACTCACCACTGATTACATGGGAGAGGAGACCTTACTGACTGAAACAGATTTGGGACCACGCTTATTATCCAGCCCGTTGACTGTTCGCACTGTAGTCAGAGGCCGGCTCCACTTACGAACAGGCAACATAGGCAAGTACTGGAATGCTTTTACTGCACCGAGTTGTTATTTTGCTTATTGTGTCTTGATATAATGGTTATTGACCTAACAGCAAAATACAGTATATGTGCATTCAACTGAAAGACCCTTTTTATTAATGGGAGAGTTCCAAGGAGCTGGGAGGCTCACTATAAATACATATTCAAAGGGAATTATTAACATTTAATAATGGTTTCTATGATCATAAGGAGATGAATAATCTCAATAAATACCTGTTTACTGGAAAATTTTGCTTGCAATGATGCATTGCGATCATATGGATGTTAAACAGAATATGGACTTAATAAAAGTTCAAAACACATTAGGAACAATCATCTGATTATAGGTGATAATCCACACACAGTTACGGTTAATGCTTGAGCTCAAAGTTCATTTCCTACTGGTTACCACTGATGGTTTATAACTCACCATTAACAAAGGACTTGATCTGAATTCACAGTTCCAAACTAAACTAGTTAGGAAAAGAACAAAAACACATTTTTAATATTGGATCGCATCATAAGGTATTTAGCGTATCTATTAATCACATTTCCTTTGCTTTCTGTTTTCTGTCAGCTCTTTAGAATACGTAACTTTTTTTCTGTTATCTGTGCTCACATGCACTGTATCGTATTAGACTGACTTCCCACAAAGTTGTTGTCATTTACATTTCCATCTGTTTCGGCTGTCAGAGGACCAAAATAAGCGTGACAGTGTAACTGAAAAAAGGCCTATTAAGACCACATTTTTAATTGCTGTCGCTTTCGAAGCACGGCAAGTTTGACACCGCTATAACGACACCGTGATTTCATTTCTAAAAAGTGTGGCAGCATCGGACAAAACTCCTACTCAGGTATGTTAAAGACAATACCTGCACTTTTAATTTGGCTGTAAGTACATCTAAAAAGATTAGTGAGAAAGAGAATTAGAGGAGAGTGTATCGAAGTTATTCTCTCATTTGTTCCAAGTTCTGAAATCTGTCTTTTGCTAAAACATAGGTAAAATCTGGAAAATTTAACACAAGGTTATAGCTTTGCTGGTAAAGACATATTAAGTTTGTTCTTTGATAAATATAAGTTATAAGGGTCCTGAAATAATTCATGTGATCACTAAAATAGTTTTCTCGCATAGATACTATTTTAACGAACAATGCACTCTGTCTCCCATGGGACATGCACTCTCAGGCCAACATTTTAAATAAAAAAACTGTTCTTAATGTTTTGCCTGTTGAAATAAATGTCAAATAAAATAGAAAAAATAAATAAAATAAAGGATGGTTGAGAGTAAATACATGGGTTGAAGTACAAGTAACCTGTTAGAAAAAAAACATGTTAATATATGCTAGTAGAACCAGGACAACAAGAGAAACAATTAGTAGGGTTTATTTTGGATTTTGGGTTTAAAATAAAGATTTAGGTTCAGTGTAAGAAAAAAAGCCCTAAATTTTGTATTAAAACTGAATGTTTAATATTCTGGTCATATAAAGCCATGCATTTTGACTTGTTGTCGTCACTTTACAGTTATTGGTGCGTTGGGTTTGGAAAACAACGTTGGATCCCCAAGACTGAGAAAAATAGCAAGCCAAGGCAAAAAATTATCTCAGTGTGATAGTTCCACTTCGTCTGGCAACTAAGCACCTTGCGTCTTCCTTTGTGCTCATCCAATTTTGGACCTGGTGTGCCCCTGTGGCGCCATGGCAGCTGACGATAGCTTCCTCACCATTAATCAACTGTTGAAATGATATTCCCTCTCATAAACAACGCATCCTTCTCCAGGCCAAAGAAACTCTTAGCAAGAGCCATTGTTGGCCTCTAAATATGCCAGCACTTTCTCATTGTGCTTATCACTCAAAGCAGGTTGAGGGCGGGGGGGTTATTGGGTGGGAACGAAGGGGGTGGGTTGTGTCTGGCATGTAAATTCACATCAAGGCTTAGATATCCATCAGGGGCCCTGGCCGACAGTCAGAATCAATTTTGTGAGGGAGCGCTCGCGAGCACTTTTATTTGTTTCTGCTTCCATCTGTCGCAGCTTTTCTCACACACCGGCTCCTGTCTTTACTCTTCATCAGCGTCTTTCTGTTTTCTACCAATCATTCAGCGACTTCTTACCTTTTTTCACACATTTTCCCCCTCCACACTTTACCTGGCTGTTTGTTTTGTTATTTTACCTTTCCCATACCCACTGTGTTTCTTTCATTTTTTCTCCTCAGCGTCTGTCATCAAGCCGTAATGATTCAGGGCTCCTTTTTTTTATTTTTTTTATTTTGGTGGGTGGTAAAGCTGAGACTTGACTGGAATGATACTAACATACCGGTACGCACACAGCCATGCATGCTTATCAAATCATTCTTACATGTCAAGAACGCACACGTTCATAGGTACATACAGACATAAAGATGGGAATGTGTAATAGAGCGTGTGCAGGTTTCAAAATGAAGCAGAATGTCAAAAACTGGAAGCAGACAGGTGGAGTATATCATTGATATGCAACGATTTTTATTTATTTATTTATTATTTTAAGTTTGCTTGGAAGACATGGCTTCTTTCTGAATTTGAGGATTCTCCAAACGTTCTACTGGATGGCATCAAAAAGTCACACTAACTGATGAGAGAAAAACTGTTAAGCTTTGTTGATACTGTGCAGACACAGCTCCAGGATGGTTGAGGAAAGGTGCTTAGTAAATGGTTTATGATGAAAAGTGCAAAAGGAGGAGGAGGTGTGCTTTTGTAGCAGATTAAGATATATGAATGTGTTGAATAGCCTAATGTATGCCATAAATTCTTGAATACTGCTTGAGGCCTTTAAAGTTGCTGTGTGCTAAAACTGTGGCAAATTGAATGGTCAGAGTTTCCTTTGTTAAAAGTCCTGACCCACTGAGGCCAGTTTAACTTTAGATATTTCCCAACAGTTCGTCCTGTAGTATAATATTGTGATCACCAAGATAAAACGATGGGAAACAAATAGCTCTTCTCGTGTACTGCTCACTTTAAAGCTACCAGCTAACATTTTTTTCTACCAGCTAACATTAACTTGTTATCAAATTATTATGAGTTGTAATGGCTTTCAGTAAAAAAATGTAGCAAATTACCTTGTAAAATAAAATTAATTTCTCTATATGCAGTTAAAACTCTCAGGTCTCGCTGTCCTAACTCTAATTTAATCTTACGGTTTTCAGCTGAACACGCCATAAATAATGTTTTTATTTTACACCTTTAGAAGTAGGATTAGACCAAAAGTGAGCGTCAAAAATTTATCTGTCGACTGAAAAAACCAAATAACGTTTCAATAAATTATCGCGAGCTACGACTTAGGAGTAATTAATAAATGGAAATGATATATATGCTGTCAGACCTTTTCAATTATTCTACAAAGCATCCTTTAGTAAAAGCATTGTAAAGTGACAAAAGACAGTCACTTATTTAAATAAGAGACAGTTGTAAAATCAATACTGGAGCTCTGGAGGTTTGGCTTTGTTAAAGCATTGAACGTCTTTAAGGAAACAAAGGCAATACTCCCACGTAAACAATTGTATGAGCAAATAAAGCGTGTTTAAACTATGACAGCTGCATGCTCCTCTCACAAAACTGAATGATGAATTCATGGGACAGCCATTTGCGGATTTACTGATATTTATCAGCTGAAATCACATTAAACCGAGAGGAAAATAAAGAATGAGACATGAGAAAAGACACTATTAGAGAAGATATTTTAACAGTGCATTTTTATATAGTCAAAGCACTATATGTAAACTGCTTGGTCCCAAAGATAAAGCATGTTTAATATCGAATAATCTTTTAAATCTATGATTTCATTATGATTTTAAAGCCTTAAGCTTTTGGTAAGATACTGTGGACTTAGTAATGGCTTTTTAACAGTGATTAATCTATATTGTCTCTTTTAAACAGACAAGTAGAACCATAAACAACAGATGACAAATTACTCACAAGTAAAAGATGACACATTTGTGGCCACAGCATATCATTAAAAAGCACCACAGAGGTACACACAGCAAAGGAACTTCCCATGGTCTTTTAGTGGCATTTTTTTGTTTCCCTTTTATGAAACATATCTACCTCATTTAGAAAAGATTTCACATGTTGATGAAATGTTTTCACTGCCAATTTATCCCAGTGGTTTTGTTGCAGTGGAACTTCAATGATATGTTTTTGTGTTCGTCTAGTCCCTGTGAACAAAGGAAGTTGGTTTATGTTGGAAACTACTGATTTTATCATATCTGAAGATGATATTTTATATCATAACCTTTATTTTACCAGGCAAGACATTAAGATCAGGTTCTTATTTCCAGCTCCAGTGGCAAGTGCCAAAATGTACCCAATACCGCTGCTAGATGACATTATGTCATTATATTAGAGGTGGTCAACGTTTCATGATCAAAATGAGCATTTTCATGAGTTTGACTGAGACTTTTTATACTTTCAAGCCACTGAACACCTTTTCCTATATTGCTAGGCTGTTCTGCGCAACTTTTCAAAATTTTCTCGGTTTTTGTATTTTGGTGTCTTTTTTTCTGCTCAGTCATAATGCTTAATCTGACTCCAACAATGTCTGTATCATGGTGTTCACACTGCCCAAAATTATCTCATGGTCACACATTATTTATCTTGTGACCACGTGTTATTATGGCCACAAGATTCTTTTTTTTATTCATTGTCACCGGACGGGCGCTGTAGAAAGCAAATCTTTAAATAACTTTAAAATAATTTTCATTAAAAAGTCTCACGTTTGGGTTTTTGAATCAAGCATTTTTTCCACCACTTATAGGATGGTCAGCTCTACTTTTTACATGTACTGAATTGAGTTCACACAAATGAAATTTACAGCAGTGCCAAAAATATAGGAAAGCAAGTGCTTTTAATGTCAAGTTTGTAGTATTGTTATATTTGCATACAATAAGAAGCTCACACGAATATGACGGATGGGAGAAGCTATTGACGTAAAAAAAATCTTGCTGACTAAGTTTTTTTTCTTCCAAAGACTGACTTTCTTTACATCGACATGAACTCATACAAATAGAAAAACGTGTATCTGCTTTTCCAGAGTAGAAGAGAAGGCTGATTGGAACCTTCTTCAGACCTGACAGTGCTTCTTATCTGCAGCAGCCTGATAAGCCCTGAAGAGACTGGCTTTTAGAGCAGTAGGGAAGCATAGCATTTTAGCTAAAGCTGTCACAGATAGGAATTTACCTAATGATTAGTTTAGCATGATTTAGCTTTATAGATGCACACACGGTGTCTCTGTCGTTAAAAGCTTTTGCTGCTGACACAATTATGCCTGACTAGATCAACCTTGCCTTTAGCCTTGAGGTGAGGCCAAATCTGCTTATTTTGAAAGGTCGGTGGCCTGGAACGAGGAGGCAGGGGAAAAAAATCAAATACTGCAGACTACTTTGAAACCCCCTCTGTGCTTGCTCTCATTTGTTCTCCAGGCCAGTAAATCAGTAGTTTGTTGTGGCTTTAACCTCGAGAACTGCCATCGGAGCAAAGGGGGCAGGCAGGTGGGGTAGCCCAGAGTGGGGTTATTGTCATGCAACAGCGAGAGGCAGTCAATAAATTTGATAGAGTTCAGCCTCCTGGCACTTTGTTCACCATTACTCTTCACCCAGACAAGGCAGCGCTTCAATAGATGTGGAGGAGTTTCTGTCTGCAATAGAAGCCCGGGGTGTTAGCTTGAATTTCAGTGATGAGAATGGTGGGCCGAGTCGGCGTGATTCAGTAGTTAGGGATCGATAATAGGACCAAGACCAGGGCGTACACGCCAGCCTCAATGAGCTCTAAAGTATGTATTATTTGAGGAGTCTGATGATGGCTCTCGTAATAGACAATTAATTAAAATCGTAATTGGGTTCCCCATCATTAGATTTGTTTTATTATCGACACTGAACACTGGGTGATGTTTTTATGCCTATGATGGTTTAAGGTGTAGTTCTATTCAAAATGAAAGCAATCTTTGGCTTTATTGCAAAAGGGAAATGCCTATTTAACACCAGAAAGAATATGTTCACAGTAATATTTGGAAAGTATGATTCAGGTAAATACATGCAGCTGAGTTGAGTGGCCAGGGTAAGGTGATGGATGACGAGGAGCATACTTTGGGATGGCAGACACCCCTCCCATTAATCTGGAGAACAGTGCTGTCTGTCGTTGTTTGCATAACAACACCAGCTCCCCATTACTCATTTAGCCGCTGCCCATTATCTGTTTGTTGATGAAGGAGTTTGCCTCTAAAAGACTTGAAGGGTGCTTTTGGCTCCTCTTCTGAAACTCCTACAGGCTAACTGATGTGTCAGTTCTGGGCATCAAAGGCACCTAATTGCTGCTCTCACTATATTTTATATAAAAGCATCCTTGACGAGGTGTTACACAGCCTCTCAGGGGAAAAAAAAACGTATGTTTCTTTTAAGCACCTCACTTGGACATGCCACGATTTAAAGTCTAAAAACCGAAAACTGCTACTAGTAATATAAGCATTTTGTGAAAGTGCACGGAAATTAAAACAGATTTCAGCTGTAAGTTTTACTTTCTCCCATTGTCGACTGCTGCAAATTATACCTAACACACTCCTGATGGTACTCTTAGCTGCAAAATTACATAGAAATCTTTTGACCCGTGGTATTTACAAATGAAAACGATGCTGTGTGAAATGGGCGGCCAGTCCCTTGCAATTATCTGTAACAGTTGTGCTACTAGGAGTTTTGTTTACATTTTCAAGATGTAAACAAGCCTTTTCAAAAAGAAGTGAGTATTTATGATGGAATTTTGTAGGAAGAAACAAAATATGAATTATTTGTTTTTATGGAACAAACACTATAAAGTCCTTTTCTACTTACCCTTAGAGACTATTATTATTCTGACCAATGAAAACATTGTCAGTTAGGCTGAATGCCAAGGTTTTTTTTGTTGTGAAAAGTTTAACTTGATAAAAATTAAAAGCTTCAGATTAAGTTCTTAAGAAACATTATGTAAAAAGTTAAAATTTAAACAAAACAATTGTTTTTATTATTGTTTTGACATAATTTGAACTCCATTCTGCACTTTTAGGGATATTTTCTGTAAGTATTTACTTTAAAGCTCTGCCTTCCTCAGGTGTTTTTCTGTCTTTTCCACTGAGTATGACTTTATAAATGCTCCACAGGCTCTCAGCAGGGTTGAGCTCAGCAAAAGATGATGGCTGGCTACACACTTGTGTTTTTTTCTCCTTTTTTCCCCTAGAATAAGAAGTCTAAGGCTTTAAACTTCTAGTATAAAGTGGAAAAAAGTGGTGTTTTTTTGAGGTAATGAAAGCATTGCTCCTTTTGGTCTTTGGTAAGAAATGACTCAAATGTATCTTTGAATCAATCAAACTCTAAAGAACCTAGAAACTGACACATTGGCAATTTAGCTTCTTTGTCTACAGCAGTGATTCCCAACCAGGGGTATGTGTACCCCTTGGGGTATGCGAGCATTTTATAGGGGGTACATGGAAAAATTTCCCAGGTGTGTAAAATTTTTTTTTTTATAATAATAGGACTGGGATATATAGGACCCTATGATTTCCACAATGCAGAAAATGCAAATGGAATCCAGTATAAAAGGCAAGATCTCCAGGAATTTTCTCATTGGGTGTATTTGATGTATTTTGGACACTGCTGTTTTCTGCACCTGCCATTACCTGATTTATTTACTTATTCACTTTCAAGGCAATGTTTTTATCTTTGTTTAATTTGAGTTGAAAATAATAAAATGCCTGAGAATTAAACGTTCTAGGGGGTTAAATAAATAATTTTCATTTAATAATCAGCTGTTGTACAATATAGTTTTGGAGAATCATCATTACGTTTGACAGAGGGGGTACTAATGGTATGACAAAATGGCTCAGGGGGTACACAAGTCTAAAAAGGTTGGGAACCACTGGTCTACAGCACAATATCTGTACTGTCTCCTTGTTTAGGCCTTCATTTCAAAGGTTTTGTGTTGCCACATTTGTCCAAAATTTGATCAACAATTTTTCTCCAAGCCTTTTAATATAGTGATAATTTTAAATTGACCATAGCTATAAATATCAAACAATAATTTATCCTTACAATTTTTTAAAGACATTTTAACATAAACGTTACAATGTTTCAATAATCCTCTCTTACATTAGTGATATATTATTAGAGAAAATATGAGGAAGAAAAACTAAAAGACTGGAAGTTTATTTGATTGAAATCTTTCTGAAATATCCAAACAGTGGTCTCTGCAGTACACAGGGGGAGTTTCTTGTTGTATGGGCTGAGTTTGTCCAAACCGTGATTGGCAGAGTTTGGAATATAGGTGGAGATTCTTGTGAGGGTGGAGCTTGGCAAAATTTTTGGTTGGATTGACTTGTCTTTTGGGGCAAGTTAAAAGAGGAAGTAATGGTAATAGTAAAATTATTGTGAAGATGTATAATTTACAATTTATTGACTTCAAATTATGTGTACTTAGCACCTTCCTATCTTAAGTAATGACTAAAATTAATATTCATATTAAAAAGTGGTCTTTTTCTAGGCAGGTTAGGGCTGTTTTGACTGAGCTGAGTTGTTGCACATCCCTGCACGTGTACAGCGTTCAAACTTTTGTGTGGTTAACACCTTCCTATTTCGAGTTATGACTAAAATTAATATTAGATTTAAAAAATAAAGGTGCTTTCTGGCCGTTTCAATCGAGCTACACATCCCCCCAGCTGCCCAGCATTCTTCAAACTCCATCTCATCTATAACAAACTACACCCTCAAAGGTCAAACAGACCAATCATGTACTGGACAAACTCCTCCCACACAACAAGAAACTCCCACTTGGTGGCTGCAGAGACCCCCTTTGCAAAATATGATCTGCATAAAAAGTTTAAATTCAGTCCATAATGCAGAAGTTAGTACGAGTTAAAGGTTTTGCATCATATGCACAGTAATACTTTCCTCTTCCACAGGCTGTCCAGTAGACCCTAACAAGAAGAAAGCTGCAGATGATATTTCAGCTCATTCTCACATCATCACACCTCGTGAATTTACCAGCGGCTTCAGAGGAGGAAGCCTGTCTCCCAGAAACACCTTCCAGCTCAGTGGTCAGCACTTCACTCGACATCTTTCTGTATTCAGTCAGCATTTATGTTTTAACCTATTAACCCCATATTAGCTCCACTTTTATTTTGCCAGTCCTTTCACCTGTCTGTATTTGTGCGCAATGAAGGATTTAAAATTAGGTCCTTTCATTTGAGTGTTGACCATAGTGCAGCTTTGATCAACTCAACCAGATACAGTTCACCTTTTTTTCCTGCTGGCTGCACCACCAAACCACTCTATTTTCTAGCTAATTGAGCTTGCAGAGGCATCTCTTGTGGTTAGCCACAGTCCTGTTTTTGTTTTTTGTTTTTTTAATCATGTGTGCAAGCATTAGTCGTCTAAGGCACACGACCACACGCACTGTGTAAACCAATTTTTTCCTCAATTAAGCAAGCCATCATCAGTCAACTGGTGCATTAATGCTAAACTTACCTCAAATTTCGGCTGTGGCTGAGACACACACAAAGTTAGAGGTGTTACATAACAAACATACAACAAACATATAATTGCTTAGTGTACTACAGAATACATTTACCATGTGTAGAACTACAAAGTAGGTCATAGGAATGATCTTGTTTTTAAACAATTTTTTGCTTTCACACTGTTTAGCGCTCCACTGATAAGTAGATTTGAATTGGAATGCAGCAAACACTGTGCTTATAAAATATGTTTAGAAATTATTCATGCCCAGCTTCACCTCACAAGTATTTTACAGACTGGTACAATCAGTTATTCACAGCTCCTGTTACTGTGCAAACACAGTCTGCTCACTGTTTGTTCTGTTCCTTACATATCTCATCGTCTTCCTCAGGACCACGACCTCCCCACTCCTTGTCTCTTTCACACTCTTTTACTCTTTACACTCTCCCTCCTTCACCTTCCCGTGCCATTTCAACTTCCAGCGTACCTAATTGCTTCCACCGGAGTCTAGTCACAACAGCGAGGCACGCAAGACAGAAAAGCTCCTCTTGGTTTGTGTGTTCCTGTTGTGCGTCTGTGCACGCTGTCACACTCCTGGCCCACTTCTGCCTGCCTGTGGCTGTGAAGGATGTGGCGTAGCCAGACACTATCAGGTTAGCTCAGTGGCAGCAGACCCGATACCTCCTCGATAATGAGACTTGGGGAGGGAATAGGGCAAAGAGTCATACCTGAAGTGGAAAACAGAAGGAAAAGCAGATATGAGAGAGATTAACAGGGTTTATGTGTAAGTTTAAAATATATAAAAACACTAGTGGGTGAGCGATCACAGTGTTGCACATTTTAAAACCTAATCAGAACATTTCAGGTAAATAACAATCAGCGTAATAATCAGTGTTTTTGTCATCTATTTATGCTCTTCAATTAGTTTCTAAAGAGAAGTTTGGATTTTTCTTCCCCATGTGGGATTGTCTTAGGGAAACTGAACCCCAGGCTGCCTTGGACCTATTAATTGGTGTTTGATTAATGCTTTACAAGTTAATGCGGCACACAGTGTGAACGTCACTGAATGAGGCAAAGACTGAAAAATTCTGAGGAATAAAGTCAGTGTTTGTGTGACCACTGCTATTCTTCAACACAGCCTGAACTTTCTTGACCAGACGTTTCTTGCGATTTCTTTTAGCAGTTCGAAGAAGTTTTCCAGCCTCTCGAAGAGCTTAGCAAACAGGAAAACAGCTTTTATCATCTACCCCAGCTTTCATCTAGTTATTGAGATGAAATGACGGTCTGTTATGTTTGTGTGTCACTGACAGGGAAAAAAAATTGTGTAAAGCAACATGCTGAGTAAATAACATAGCAGGCGAATCATTTTCCAGTTGTTACACTCTTGAATCATTGAAAGCGAGTTATGTTACCGGGAATTTCACATCAGGCTACAAGGAAGCTGCAGGGCACGGTGCGAGTTCGTCAGATACTGCACTGATCTGTGTGGAAACATTATCCAAACCTAAATTCTGATGTAGCACACATTTAACTCCCATGACTGATAGAAAATATGGTCTCTGCTAACTTTCAGACTGAACATTAAGACTGATGCACATCTAAAGGCCCTGTCACACTAGATAACTTATGCCAACTTATAAACATTTTAAAGACGTGTACCTTGATGATGGACTTGAAAAATAACAGGAAGCTTCTTTTCGGTGTGTACATAATGTAATTCTAACAAGTTGATCAAACATATAACTTTTATTAACAATTTAGACATAAAAATGTTACATAAGTTGGCATAAGTTGTCTAGTGTGACAGGGCCTTAAACAAGAACAAAAACAAGGCCCTAACCAAATTTTCTCTCAAATTGCCAAGCTGATTTTTTGTTTCCTCTTCATTCAAATATTCTTTTAAACGAGCAATTCCAAAGCTTTCCATTATGTTTATTCTGGCCCTTGCCTTCTTATGCAGTTCCGCTCAATTCTAGTTTCGTTTCACTGCTCCATCTGGGATTTCTCTCATAGACAAGGATTTCTTCGGGAGCATTTCATTCAGGCCAATCAGAGAACAGAACGTCGATTTTCTGCGCAGTGTCTGCTAGTTAGTTTATTTTACCTGGGCCAATCAGCAAACAGAAGGCGGAGTTTTAAACAACATCGATTTTCTGCCCAGTCTGCTAGTTATTTTAGCATACGGCAGTGGAGGAAGTGAATGAAGTCAGCCCGTATTGATAAGGCTTCCAAATTAAAATAAATATGTCTGACAAAGCAGCAGCTGTCATTTACAGCCGTCTCGTTCGGCTCGGTACTTTTCTCCTCTCAGTAGGGTTGTTTACAGCGCACGCGATTTCCGGTTAGCTTCCTAGCTTAGTTTCCTTCACAGCGACATACGTCACGGCCAACCGGTCCAATCATTTTAAACTTCAGCAGAGGCCACGCCTCCAGCAAGAATCTCTTCTCTATAGCCGAGAGTCCAGACCCTTGGACGAAGCAAAGTGAAGGACAAGGGTCTGGTTTTTACCAGGCTATATTCCTGCTAACCTGGTATTCCAAACCAGCTCATTAGAACATACCAAGTTTGTTTTTTGTTTTACCACAATCAAACATATGAAGTGTTTTCTTCAGGTTCACTTGAAAAGTATACGGTAAAACAGCTCATGAAAACCGAAGATCTCTCAAAGAAAACAACAAACCAACGATACTTCATCACATTGATTTAGTTCACTGCAAAGGAAGACACACATTCATAACTAAATCTGCTGCAAATAAACTAAAAGCAAATGCAGAAACTTTAAAGCCATACAAGTTGTACCGAACAAAACAGAACTGGGTTAATTCACGAGAGAGAACTATAGAAAACTGATGAGTACTTGAGGAATTAGAGAAGGTCTAAAGTCTGGTGTATAGCAAACACAGGAGGTAAAGTTTCTGAAGAGCTTGAATAAAAGGCCACTTTACAGCTTGCTCTCTGCCAAAAATCTTTTATTTTCCACCTAATCCTCACCTCTCCCCTCCATTTACTGATTTACTTTATGCTCTTTTCCTTTGTGCTGCTCATTTCTGTTTTTGGTTTATAGTCGCTTTCAGTGACTCCTGTTAATTCTCACCATTGCTGAAACACAGAATTAATCACATGGCTACAACATGAGAAAAATGTTGTTTTTTATTACATAAAATAAGAAATGTTAAAATTGTCAGCAAACCATATCACAGCCTGGTACATACCTCTACCAATCTTGTACTTGCCTGGCATAAACCGGGCCGTATTATGTATTACTACCTTTCAGTTTTGGTCCGAGTCCATTGTTATTGGTCTAATTATCTGGACTTTAAAATCATGGATGTTTTTTCTGATCCTGTGAAAAGAATAAGATGTAACTCCACTGACCATGATGGTGAAGTTTGAGTGGACTGTTTTTCTCAGCAGCAGGGCTTTGACCCAGTTTAAATAGTGATGATTGTTTGACTGAGCTCTTTTCAAGTGAACAATCCGTCTTGTTTTTGCTTTTTCCTTTTTTGTACCGGAACAGGATTTAAAACTGCGAATGCCACTTTCTCTCACTTGGACACTTTGTTTTAGAACATATGGTCAAAATGGCAAAACGACTAGATTCCATTTTGCTCAGTGAATAAACTCACCCCTTTAGCCTCTCTCTGCTTCACAGCCAGGACCACTGCACAAGCACACAGGCTGGAGAAAGATGGGGACCACACGCTGTTGTACAGCAGGATCAGAGCTGACGCCAGCATGCCAGGAGAGCGAAACCTAAAGGACACCAGCATTGAGCGCCGGAAGCTGGACTGCATGGCTGCCGTGCATCAGCGGGAGGCCAAGGACAACTCGGCTGCAACTGAAATTACAGTGAGCTCAGACTTTAATACTTTGGAATTTGGTAAACCATGGAGTAGTTTATCTCTAAAGTGTTGCAGATTGTGAGTTTTCTTCAGTGAAATCCCCAACAGATTTCAGAACCAAAGTAATAGTTAACTTTCTTGGTTGAACTTCTCAAGAGAATGCACCAGTATTTGAATTCTCAAGGTTATGTACCCTTCAACCATCTGCACTGCATGGAAAGATAATACCGGTAAATGTTCCTCTGCGTCGAAGAGCCGTGCTCTCTCACCTTTGGGTCACATGTTAAATGGCCTTTTGTCAGAAGAGCCTGTGTGTCTTCGACATTTTTACACCATGCATTTCTTCAGGGAAGACCAGCAATTTTACTTGTTTCACAGCTCTGTAACAGCCAATTCTATGTGGGATAGAACTGCTCACAGAGAAACAAGACTGTTAGTGTAGCTCAAAAAATCAATTTGGCTGTCTTTTTTTTTTTTTCGATTGATAACCACAACTTTAGTCGAAGCAAGTTTCATGCTCAGCAGTTTCACTATGGCTAGACTTGTAAAAAACCTCAGTATTCTATATTATACTGTATATATTTAACTTTCTGCCACAGCTTTTACATTTATTTGTGGAGGGAAGGGGAGGGAGAGGCACCTAGTTCAATTCTAAACCACAATCAGGTAACTGTTACCTTCAGTTTTTAGAAATTATTATCAAATAAAAAGTTGACTTTGTGTCATACAATAAGTGTCTAACTAGACACCTTGAGATTGGCCTCTTTAAGAACCTCCTACCATTTCAGACGCTCCCACTTCAGCTCATTTTCAGATGATGCTTCGGGGGAGGAGTGCTCTGTGGGACGTGAGCTCAGCTGTGGACTGAGCTCCAAGGAGGAGCTTTGTACAAATAGGCGGAGCTTTGCACCAGCAATTTTTCAAACATGCATTAATGTTTTAAGACAACACCCTGGGTATGTTTTTGATGAGTGAATGACATTATTACATGATAGCCCAAAAGAAGTAAAAAAGTCAATTTTGCATAATCTCCTCCCCCCACCCTTAATATATGCTTTTATTTATTTTTGTATCAGTGTAATCCAAACACACTTTTTTAAAAAGTTGGCGTTACAAACTCAGTCAATTAAAAAAATCTAATATGAACAACTCCATCTGTTGTCACCGTTGCCAAGTTGATTTAAACTTTAGTTCTGTTCAATTTAGCCGAGAAGCATGTTGGTGTAAAAGGTTTGAAAAGGTCATTTTCTTGATCACAGCACTTGACGGAAATGAAAAATATGTGGCCAAAAAGCCTGCCTGCTTGCAAAACAATCATTCAAACTACACTATTTTCCATCTAAAGTGTGCAATCAGACAAGAGGCAGCCATGTGTTAATATATGCCTTGAAATAGTCACTAAAAGGTCAGGGAGAAAATTATGATTTACTGCAAACTGAGTTTTTACTGTCTTCAGTTTGGTTATAGTTTCCATCCGTTATGATGACATTTTCCTCTACAAACTCATTAACTGAACATGGCAGCACTAAAAGTAAGTCCTAAAACTTTAGTTCTAATTCACTGCGGCACAAGAAAACTGTACTGTTGATTTAAAGAAGAAAGTTTGTTCAAAAATGGTGATGGTTGTTTACAGTGAGGATTTTTTTCAATGTGTTTGTTTATTAATGTGTGCATTAATCAGCTTCTGCCATCGTTTGTTGGTGTTAGGATCACACAAGGGAAGTTCAAGTGGCCAGGGAACATCAAGCCAAATCCAGAGAAGCCTACAGCAAGGCAGAGGGAATCGCCAACATGCTGAGCCAGGCCATCACCACGCAGCACCTCCTCTACGCCAGTCTGGGCTCTGCTGAATACATGGAGTTTGTCCTTAAAAATCCCTTCAACATCTATCAGTCAGTCACGATTCATAGTGACGATTCAGAACTCAGGTAAGAGTGTACAGATGTTCTCAACACTTGTGTAGTGACTGCCTGAAATTCTTTCCTCAAGTCTTTAAGTGTAGTTGTAATAGCTTTGACAAAATAGATTTTGACAGGACTAATGTAAAACTCTGTGGTTACAAGGTCCAAATATAAAAAAAATGTTAATGGAATTCCTTTAATTCCTTTATGTTACAAATATGAATGCATTTTTGAAAAGATTTAATGACATGCTGTAAAAACACTTTCATGCAGCTGAGATGAACAGTTGTTGAGATACTTGCCTGTGAAGTAACAGGAAGTGATGTCAAAGGGGAATGTCTGCATGTGACCAGAGCATTGCAACAACAGCTAACAACACAAACTGTAGAGAAATATCTGATGTTTCGTTAGATAATTTTGAGTCACTATCAAAGAGAGATGAAGAAGAATCAAAGTTCAAACAATATTATTTCAATAAACAAAGACCAGAGAGTTTTCTTTCTTAAAGAGTTCCCCTTTGAGGTCACTTCCTGTTTCGCTTTTGAAGAACGAAGTTCAAAGAAAGTATGGCAGTTATGTGATAAAATGGGTAAAATCACGTGTTATGTCAATATTTGTAAATATAAAGATGTTTTCTTTTGTCTTTTTGTGTTTGAAAGGTATGCATGTCACAGACACTTTAACTCCATATTTTTAAGTGTAAGAACAGAAAAACACATCAGTTAACCTTAGTGACATGTTCAACCTGATTTTTTTGTATTGTTGTACACGTTTTTTCATCTTCAGACTTCTTCCGAACAAGATAGAATGTTAATGCATGTTTCATCTTTGAAAACCAGATAGATATAACAAATTTATTGGTTGGCCTCCAATCTAGCACAGTAGGTGTGAACATGTGTTTCTGTGCTGTATGCGTTCATCAGACCACAACAGTCGATGCTCCACCGTGAAGTTGTGTTCACACGTTTTCAATGTGTTTCCAATTGTGATGTTAAAGCTCAGGAGCCTATTTTCACTGTTTTAGAGAACAGGGTCGAATCCTTGCGCTCGACTTGCTCATGAACCGAGAGCCTAGCTTTTTAGGTGACAGCTTAACAATTTAACTGTTCCTTAAAAATTTCACCACCAGTTACGGGATTGAGTTTCCTGTAACACTTGGCGAGGACGTGGTGTTCTATTATCATAGCATCGCTATTCATTACAATGGTCATGTTACTTCATAAGAGTGTAAAAATCTCTTTCTGCGGTTGTTAAAAGATGTGCAGATGTGATGATTCACTGCATTTCTGCTGAATGCACACTTTTTGTGTCCCAGTAACAATGACCTTTTTTTTTACTAAGAAACTATAACATGAAAACTACATGTGCCATTATTTTTAATAAAGATGCTTGCGCTCCAAGAAAGGCAATAAAACAAGGTATTAGGAAGTCACATTACTTTTTTACAATGAAATTGTGACATCGTATCAAACAAAATTAATACCAGAATTAAAGCCTTCAGTTCGTAAAAAGTGACAGTAAATTTGTGCAGTGAAGCTACTCGTTAATCTGAAAGTCATGACTGTAAGAAGTGAAATTTGTTTGAAGTTAGTTCCAAATGTTCCTTAAACATTAATAATTTTTCTTCCTTCTTTGTATTTTTAGGTTTTCATACTGTAAGTGTAGTATTTTACATTTGACTCTAGTTTTGTAGAGAAAAAAACAGATGATTTGATCACAGAACATTTGTTTAGTATCACTAAAACTCCTAAATTTATGCAAAGGAAGTATCCCACATTATCTAATCACTATCCCCTATCTTTTGACTTATAGCGACTAAATTTTGGCCACAAATATGCTCCTCCTGTGCACATTTATTCTTTTTCTTTATGCCTCGAGGCTGTATTTGTCAAGGGACTATGAACTGTGGGTAATTCCCTCAGGCATTGTCTGCTGAAACGCAGACAGACGGAAAGTGTGCATCTAGGGCTCAAAATGCCTGCAAGGGAGCCGTGGTGCAGTTTAGGATTTGACAGTGGGCCCTTCACAAAGTTAGCAGGTGTGTGCCTCAGATTCTGAGGGTGGACTTTAACAATTACAATTACATCTCGACGAATTTCATTCAAACTTGTTAAACAGTTCATGAAATGAAGCCTACTCAATTTTTTTTTTTTTTTTGTATTTTAAAACATTAGGCCTTTGTGGGCTCTATGGATCCACTATGAAATGTTTTAAATGTATCATTTAAAAAGCTGTTAGATTGAAAGGTTAAATATGAAGTATTTTAAAATGTATATTTTAATCCATTTAAATTGGGATTATAAATGCATTCAGGTATTAGGAGTGAAATTCACAGCTCAGTCCTAGTTTTGACATAACATATGTGTTGTGTATACTAATGTAGAGTCTTTTGAATGTATCCTAATTTTCCTGCAGGAGCAATTCTCGCTCAGCAAGACAAACAGTTGTCCTTGAGACAAATGCATATATAACTCTGTGGAAACTCTGATAAATATCCTCTTTAATCCACACACAACAGCCGTTATGGTGGGTGTTTGCTGGATGACCCTTTCTTGGTATTCATGCAGTGCTCGTGTTTCTTTCATTTAGCCTCGTTGTTAATCCCCCTTTTCTCGATGTTTTGTTTTGGATTCTGCTCATGCTCAGGCTTTGGATTAACATATATCAAATTGATCAACAAAGGCTGCAGAGCACCATGGATGAATCATTATGGCATTAGGCCGACCACTGGGCCCTCTCTAATTGAGAGTCATCAATTCTTGTATCTGTCCTCTTACTGGCTTAGCGTCCTCTCTCTTTATTTATTTCTTGAAGAGGCAGCGCAGCATTTCACACCGAGCCTGTCTGTTAACTTTTCCAGGTGCCTGAAATATGTAGATGGGAAATATCTGTATTTATTGGATGAGCTTTTGTTGCAACCCGCGAAGTCGATGCCCCTGTTCAGACCTGGAACTAGCATTTGATCTGATCGCAAGTGTATTTACAGATGACGACACACTCAGAATGGAGTGATTCAGATCTGATTTTTCAAGCCCTGTACTCAGAAGTGCTCAGGGACACGTTTATCCGCAGCAATGCAGTAATGAAGCATCTCCTCTGGAATCACATAAATAGCTTTGGTTTCACTTTAGAAAAGTATGTTTCAATCTGTTCATGGTGTGGATTTCTTTTAGATTTTTCTGGGTTATTTTTAATAAATAAAAGAAAAGTTGAAGCCAAGCCTGAGAGTCATACCAGGTCTCCTGCAGCATATCCCTTGTTGCCATCTGTTATATTACTGTGTATGGAATTGATTGCTCATCATTAGGTATTTCCTCCTCATCAACTAATACTGCTTTCGATTTTTAAGGGGAAAAAATACCCAAAGGGACTCTGATAAAAAACGTATCCAAATATTCTAACTAGTTTTGCCATTTCAATTCTATTTATCATGTAAATGTCAATTAATCATCATTTCAGCATTTCATTCACATGTGTAGAAGCATTCATGTAGAAATCTACATTTATTTTTACACGGTAGACTTTGCGATCAAAATTCCAGGTAGAGGAAATTCATTGCCTGTCTGCGCAAAGCCTGAATGTCCTCCTAATACCTGCAAAGATTTTCCTTGGGTACTCTGTCTTCCTCCCGCTGGCCTAAACACGCCTGTTAGGTTAATTGGCGAATTTAAATTGGCTGCGCGCGTGTGTGAGCCTTCACGGCTATTTGTCTCGTGTGTCTCTGTATCGGCTCTGTGATGGACTGACATCCCGTCAGAGCGTTGCCTCTGCCTCTTGCTCAGCGACACCTGGGATAGTCTGAATTTATTAGTTGAGCTCAGCCGTGGAGGCGAGTGAACGGATTTTACAGCAGCCTCAGAGGGGCAGTAAAACCTGCCGTACGTTACCCGTTCCCGCTCGACATGAACACACAGCCTGCTCAGGTGTGCGAAGGTGCTCCGTTGTTGCTTCCTCATCAATATTTCAGCCAATGTTTGACAAGAAGGTTTCTTGAGAACACAAAGAGAGCCTTGTGTCAGGTTTTTGTTCTTCCGAAGCAAACAAGAAAGAAGACTGACCTTAGCTGGAATTCCAGCACGGCTCTTTGAAGACGGAGTCCTTAGTGAAAGGCTAAGCTAGCTGTAGCTTTGATGTCAGCAGTTGTTTAAAGTCCAGAGACTCCTCTTGATGTAGAGGACACTTTTGCTACCTGTTGCCATCCATTTTGTAAGGATATGTTTTACACTTGTCCTGATGGAGCCAGGCGCTTAGAAAGACTGATGGCTAACAGATTGTAGGTCTGCTCTGAGCCACGTTAATGCTTTCTCATGATTTTTTAGTTTTTTCTATTTCATGCTGCATTACTTTATATTTTGTCTTTCATATCCTTTACTCATTTTTATTTTTATCTTTCCAACTTGAAGTGACCAATAGTCCTTCTTGCATCAGTTCCTGCTGTGTTTTCAACACATTGTTCTTAAAGCAGACCAAAGCATCAAATACACACTTTTTTGTTTCATGTAAGAAAAGTTTTTTTGAAAACTGCACAGTGGAAATATTCAAATGTATTTCTTAATGTAGAGTCTTTCCTAAATGTTATGGAGGTAAGGTTCTTAAAAATAAAATACAATTAAATAAAAATATCTCAACTACAACTGTGAGAAATCCTCCTTTGCCCTGGGCTTGGGACCTTTGAAGTCTTAAGAAGCAGGTCCCTGTATCCATTTGTGTGTGAAATACTTGCATTGAAAAAGGGAGGAGGGGACATAAATCATTCCATAGCATGTTATATTTTCCTTTATTTCATTCCCTGGAAATCCATTTATTGGGCATTAAACTGGAACTCTGTCTAACCTCGTTACTTTTTATTTTACACTAGATGACCCTGTTAGAAAAAAAGAGTGGTATAACTGTTTATATTGTTTTCCATACAGGTAATTAGAATTTAAGTTCAACACAAAACAAAAAGCTATTTGGTTTTCACTTCACATTTTCTAATCATGGTTTGTGACACTATTATATTTCAAAGATGTGTGCAGAAGCTTCTGTTTTTTTTTACATCTAATGAGGCATGGCCTTTTTGACCTTGGTTTAAAAGGATGCAAGTGAGTAGTGTAGACTGCAGGGGCAAACAAAATGTTACACACAAAAAATATCTTATACTAACTTTTTGTTTTGCTTCATATAATCTGTAGTATTGATATATCATGGAAAAGAATAGAGTGGTTTATCAGCTGACCTGAACTAGATGTTAACTTACTTTAGCATTTCTATCTGCCAGGTGATGTTTCCATGGTTAATTACATGATCATTTGTTTTTATTTAACTCTTATTTTTTATTCTTTTTTTCTTGGAAAAAATAATTATTTTGCAATGTACAATCATGTTCTTTAAATTTGATGAACATCTCATCCCTCCCCGTTGCTCTGTTTTTTTACTGATTTATCTCTAAACGCCGCAAGACTTAATCATGGTACAAAGAGCAATCGTCTGTTTTATTCTGAGTGATATTTCATCATGTAAGAAAAGTTTCACTTTATATCAGTTTGGTTCTCTTTCTGATCACGTAATAACTCAAGTTTTGATCCAGGGTGGATTTTCTACAAATATGTAAAACGTAGCTTTGATCACATTCATGTCCTTTAATCTTTTCATCCAGTGTCATCACTGACACCGAGGAGTGGCGTTACTTCAAAGCACTAACCACAACTCCTACTCCAGTGGAAGAGAACTTGTTTCGTGTGGAGGAAGGAGCCCCAGGTCCCCAGGTTTACCTCCGACCAAAAGAAACCGTCCACATTCCTCTGAAATACCAGAGCTTCACTTGCAACCACACCCTGGCCGTCCAGGTAAAAAGCAAACCGGAGGGAGACTTTGGAAGCACGTTTAGGAGGCGGTATTTATTTAATTCTTCTGTAAAAACATTTTGTCGTAATTTAATTATTTTTGAATTTATCATGTTTGACTAAAGTGATGTTAGTCTGTTTTTATGCCTTAAACCTTGAATTTATTAAATTGATTTCACAGCAGAAAACAATCATTAAAACATCCCATCACCACTTAAGAGACTGTTATTTTACAAACTGATTAAAGTTCACAAAAAATAAATTTAGTGTCCTTGATTCTACCAAATCTTGTTTGGTTACAAAAATTCCCTGGAAATATTATGTTGAGTGGGGATAAAGTTTGTTTGTTTGAATGTCAGTACGCTTTAAGGTTTATTAACCTCAGCTAATCTATTTCAAGGCAACTGAAGCTTTTTACTTTATTTCTTGTCACAAGTGCAATTCAAAACGGATGCCAATTTTATGGTGTTTTGTTTTCAATCTTCTGTGGACTGCAGGGGGATTCTCACTTTTTTGGTTATATTCTGCGTGTTATCATTTACAGTTTTGTTCCAGGGCATGCAGATGTATGTAATATTTGCTTTGCATTCATTTGCTTTTATGTGGTTGATGATGAATTTTGATAACAGCTCTGCTTCTTATCAAATCTTCACAGGGACCAAGCTTTCTGCCTACAGGAAAAGGGTCTCACATGGCCAAGAAGAGTCTGTCCAATATTATTATTGCCAAAACCATCAAGGTACAGACTTACTACACCTTGTGGAATCTTACTTTGGATATTGCACCATATTTATCTTCATCTCCAGATATGCCTTTTTATATTAAATGTGGATGTTTTTTTTCTTTGTTGTAACATCTTTGCTGTGCACTAGCCCTTTGTAAAATTACATCTAGAGTTCTGTAAAATTTGTATACTCATATGTAGAGCTTAATGGTTTTGGGAGAGCAAGAGAAGACAGACATTTACTGTAAACTCAGTCTACTGTATAGATTCTTTGATTTGGAGCTTAAATTAGGTTAACTTCCTGCTCCACCCTAAAGTCCAACATCTTGTGTACACAAAGACTCCAGACAGTTCTCTGAGGAATGGCTGTGCTCTCTCTCCACCTTCCTCTGCGCTCACACAGACACACGAAACAGCCCAAACAAACTTACATAAGCTGGAAAAAACTGTTGAGTAAAATTATAAGGAAGAAATCTTAAACATTACTGACTAAAAAGTGTTTGAAAAGTCAAGTTCATTCAACTAAACTCTTGGTTTTCGTTCTGCATATTAGAACTGAGATCATTTAGAATTAGTAACCTCTCGCTAACCTGCGTCACCTCACATTTTTTTTGGTTATCGTTTACTGTTGTTTTCACATTCCACAGCGTGATGAATTATTGGCCAGTCCGCCAATCGTTTGTGTCTCCCTCCTTTTTTTTGTTGTGTGTATTGTGCGCCAGAGTCAGCTATCCTGCTCTGAGCAGAAACCCTGTCAACGGGTCCAAGAGGTCAGGCCTGGATCAAATCTGTATCACGCTACAACTGACAAGTCCCAACAGCAGAGCTGTCAGTATGCCAGCTTTGGCACGGCTGTCAGTCAGCACGCATCACCAGAGTCAGATAGGAGCCACTCCTTCAGGTCAACGTGGGGGCCGCAAATCTGACACATAAACATCAAATCACATTTAGACAGCTGCTCCGTGTTCAATGAGCAAAATGCCTGATATTCATTTCCATGAATGGATTTGGTTAGAAATGTCGATCATTACGCAGAGGAGAGGCTTGTTGTTTATGCCACTGACTTTTCATCACTCCTCCCCAGGTAACATTCAGGGCAAGCGATGGCAAGCCAATGGCCATCTGCCAAGTGAATGTGGAGCCAACACCCCACGTTGTGGACCAGACTTTCAGACTGTACCACCCAGAACTTTGTTTCCTAAAGAAGGCAATACGCCTGCCACCATGGCATGACCCCACAGGTTAGGACGCCAAAATTTAGGTCAGCATCCATTATTTCCACTTTCATAAATTCAATTAGTAGATTCCAGTTTGGGTAAGATATATAAGGTTTTCTTCCATTGTATAAAGGTTGTTGCCAACTATGGAACAAAGCATTAGAAAAAAGGAGGTTTGATGTTTTTATTTTTAGCTTATGAGCAAAAATAAACAATAATCTGAACGAGCTAAAGGAAAATATATCTCACAAGATGAAACCTGTCATGAATATTAACTGTTCGCACCATGTTTGTATTATTTATTATTCTTTTGATTATTTATGGATCAACCAACAGAAGATCCAGATTCCAGGAGTCATATTTCTGTTCGCTGCAGCGACCCTAACATCATCTGCCAGACGAGGATGCTGGTAAGATTTATATATACAGTATATACAGTATATTGCATGTTTCAATACCTATTACAAATATCTTACAATAACATTAGAAGAGATTGATTATTAAAGTGGTAACAGGTTAGGTGGTAGCTTGTAACTGGTTTTCTGTTCCAGCAGAAGGTCATTCATGATACACGGGTTATTACATTCTGGTACTATTTTTCTCTCATTAACTGTGTTTTTGGATAGGTGCCAGGAGAACCTCAGGATGTGTACTTGAAAGTGCCCGGCAGTCCCAGCCCACACATAAAAATGTTCTTCGTGATGGTCTTCACGTACGTATTGTGCTGCTTAGTGTACACTGTGACCACAGGCAGAGCGGAGCCTGAACAAACATTTGGTTTGGCTAATTAAAATCTTAACGCACACTTACATTATTTGACTCAATTCTAAGAGAGTTTGGTGGGTATTTCAGACTTGCTGTTTGTCAGCATGCTGCACCAGTGTTTGTGCAGTTAGAAAGGTCAGAGCTCTATTATTCAAGCCAGATTTCATGAAAATGATAAGGTTCTGACTGGTTTGCATTTACAACTGGTTGTAAAGAAATGACCTAAAATAATTAAATTAAACACCCATGGTAAAAAGCTGTCACTTAACACTGTTTATTATTTTATTTATCATAAGAGTTATTCATAAAGATGCACAGGAAATGGTCCTATTAGCACCACAGCAGGCTCTAAGTATGTAGCTATGCTGGTGAAGTTATTAAAACTAATTACCAGTTAATCAAATTACAAACCTCAGATACCATGCTGTAAGTTTGGAGGTTTTAAATCTGTGATTTCTCAAAAACATAGCAGGAAATCATTAACAATTACAATGAAGCATTAGTGGGAAATAAAATGTAGTTCAGTGTGCATTTGTTCCTTATCTAAGATTATCACTTATCAGCAGCTTCAAGTGTTATTGATGCTCTGTGTGTCCTCCAAAGCCCACATCGTTCCACTTTTATTGCAAATATCCCCCTAGGCTCCTCGAGAGCTGTTGTCTCAGAGCAGAGCTGAGTAGGTGACTACATTGCTTTCCACTCGTCAAGTCAGCTCAGGTCTGTGAGGTTGTGTTGTCTTCATTTCGGCAGCGAGTGGAGGATCATGAGCTTTCAGCTTATTAAAATGCGAGTACAGCCATACATCAGCGCTTCTCATTTCCAGCGTCACACAGCACCTGCTTCATCTCAGAGGAGTAATTGTTCTTGATTATAATATCTTTGTTTTGCCTTTTTTATTTCTTTTTGTAGAGATAAGTGGAGGGCAGTGCCTTCCCAGGTCTGGCAGTTTTACTTGCATTTTCTGGAGCGGGTGGACGTCAGTTGTGTCACTGGCCAGCGGAGCTGTCAATCACTTGTTCTGAGAGGAAAGCAGGCTGTGCGAAAGATTAAATGTTTCTCTTCTCACCCTAAGGAGATTGAGGTACTACAAAGCACATCCCATGTGTTGATAATGCTAAATGTAAAAGAGTTTGTTTGGGGAAAGAATGTAAATTGAATCGTGTCTTGCTGTCTGTGCAGTTTGACGAAACCTTAAAGATTCCACTTCTGCAATCTTTATCCCTTTTCTTATAACCCCCTGCTCTGTTTGATCTCTGTCTAAAACGTGAAGAATTCACATGATTTTGCATGAGGTTTATTCTGCAGCAGCTTGTTTTTCCAAGTTTCTAACTCAGTCGCCAAGTGTTACTGAAAATTTCTCGTTTTATGCGGTTTTTCCACCACTCATCACAACCATTTTAAACTTGACATTAAAGCTCTTTTGCTTTTTGTGTGTTCTTGTATGCGAGCACCACCTCCTCTCACAGAGGGGACGACCAGAACCATCAAGTTAGGGCAACACTGGAATCATAAAAAGCAACTTTTAACCGAAATGAAAGATGTTTTTATTTAAAGATATTCAACTTGCTCTGACACTGTGTGGGGTCTTCTCTTTTCCCCACCTGTCTGCGCTGTAGATCTGTGGAAGTTTGGGTGAGAGGTTGTTGAGAAGCGTAGAGAACAGTCACTTTGATGGAGAGCTCTGTTTAATTCGTCCTGACTGTCTGGGGCAGCGGGAATCTAGTTAGAGCATCCAGAATTATAGCAGCGCAGGTAAATACATAGATCTAGTGTCAAGTTCAAAACAGATCACGAGCTGACATCCGACAACTGTTATCATGGTTGGTAAACAAAGTGTTGTGTCCTCTCTATCACCTGCACAAGTTCCCCATTTTGTCTGCTTTTTTTTTTCCTTTTCTACATCACATTTTGACATGTGTGACACAAAAATCACAGCTAAGTTTTCACGAGTGCATTTAGAGTTTAAATGCATTTAAATTTTTATTTTTTTTTTGGAAAATATTGATAAGCAACTTCGGCATGTTGTTAACTGAGCAAAGCACGGCTGATGCTAAAATTATGTAGTGCATAAACAAAGCAAGAAAGCAAGTGCTAAAACTGAATTATACCAACTCAAACTGTCCCTATATATCTATAAGAAGCTGGTGAGATTTCTTTCAGAATGAGCAGTTTTCAGAATTTATATAAAAATAGTTTTCAGCTATTTGTCTTCTTTGCAGCGTGAACTAGTGAAATACCCAGGTGAAAAAAATTATACTAAGTACACTGAATCTAAGTATGCTTTAGTGTACTTGAAGCCGCAATAATCGTTAGTATACTTAAAGAGTGCTATTTTGGAACAACTAATTTAATACTAAATATACTTTAGTTGTATTTAAGTTGTACAAAAACACAATTTTAAGTGTATTAAGTATACTTTTAAATACTAAAATGGAACAACTTCAAATATACTTAGTACACTTTAAGTGTATAGATAAAGATATACACTTTAAGTGTACTAAGTATAGTTTAAGTTGTTCCATTTTAGTATTAAAAGTATACTTAATACCATTAAAATTGTACTTTTGTACAACTTAAATACAACTAAAGTATATTTAGTATTAAATTAGTTGTTCCAAAATAGCACTCTTTAAGTATACTGATGATTAGTGCGGGTGTACTTAGTATAATATTTTTTTCACCTGGGTAGCTAGTGTTTTTTTTATAATAACCCCATCTTGACACTGAAGTCATGTTGAGAAATACAGTATATAAATGCATTCTGACAGCATGTTTCTTTTCATGACATTTCATTTTTTATTAGTTTTTTTGTAAATGCATTAGAAAACATTTGAAATGTTCCTAATTAACTGAACACATGAAAATAAGCCCCATAATCATCCCTTCTATTTTAAGAGGTTGTTACTTATTCACGACTAAAACAAGAGCAAAGAAATGTTGGCAGAGCTTCTCACTCAGTGTTGCAGTAAAATATTTCATAATACTCACTTGGATAAAAAAAAGAAAAGAAAGGACTGTCACAGTTTCTGTGTATGCTCACTGTACGACCCAAACTTGTTTACCCTGTAGAAATAGGGTAGCGTCTGAAAAAGTGACAGATGTATTTTTCAAAGAGTTCACCGTATGCATCAGTGGCAGCTTTGATCTGACTCTCAGCAGGTTTGGCTCACAGTGGAATGCATTGGAGGAGTCTTACAAAACAGGATAAAGCTCAGCTTCAGAGAATAGCTTTGCTTTTTCTCAACAGATTGAAAAAGAGCTGCACAGTAAATCTCAGTCTCACATCCCTGTGTCTGTCACTTTTCTGCCTCTACCTTCTCTTCTTTCATTGTCTGCCCTTTCTGTTTGCCGTTTTTTTTATTTTCACCGAGTCTCATTCAACCTTTCTCTCACCCTGAACACTTTTACTGTCCTCTGACTCTTTTAAACACCCGTTCTTATTATCCGTGTTTTATTTTTATTTTCCTTTTTCTGTCTAACCTATTCTGCTATTCTGTTCAACAGCTCTATTTTTCTTTTATTGTGTTGTCCTCATTCCCATAAACCACCCAATCAACAACGTTTCATCACCTAGTTGCCAAATCCAATCAACCGTTATTGCCCTCACCTTCTCTGCAGGTGGACCCAGCTGGTGCATTTGTTTTGCCTCCTGCAGCTGTGCAGGAGCTCCAGTTAAGGGTCCAGCCATGGCGGGCCGGCAGCCGCTTCTTGTATTTGAATGCAGTAGATATCGACCATCAGAGGCTGATCGCTGCTTGGCTCATCTGTCTTAATGTCCACCGCCCAGTACTGTCCAAGGTAGGATTCTTTCTACACTTGCGAAGGCTTTAATGTGACTTTTTTTTTTTTGGTAAAACGAGTGTTACACTCACCTTGGTGTTTCACAAATGGATGCAATTATCTTGAATTGTGGAACCTACAAAGGAAAAGTTGAACCTCTTGAGCCCCCGGTACCGGGGTCAAAACAGCATTTCCTGTTTTCTATTCATTTTAACATGTTAACTTAAGATCTGTCAGTTGGACATGTTTGGTGTCAACAGAAACCTCAGAATCTTAGCTAAAAGCTCATATATACTGTGTATATATATATATATATATATATATATATATATATATATATATATATTCACCCAAAACAGTTCAAACGTCAAGCAGTTGAATCAAAAAATACTGTACAAAATGGCGTCAGTGCAAATCTGTAAAAAAAAAAAGTTTTGAAATAAAAAAGGCAAGTCAAAGCAAGTACTGTACCAAAATATTTTGCAAAATGTGTTGACATTTTTTTTCTTTACTTCATTTTGAGTGAATATAGTCCAACTGAAGGCAAATACCATTTCTCATTGTTTTATATACAGTAATATATATAGTAGTAGTATACCTTATTGATCCCCAGTCTGGGAATTACGGTAATTAAAAACCCAAGATTTCTTAATATTTATTGATGGTACCAATATGGACTATCCTGTGCAGAATGACAAAACACCAAATTGTTAATTTTACTAAAACCTCTGTAACATTGTTTTAGTTTATTTTAGCAGCATAAATCTTTGCATAAGTAATATCCACATGTGCATTTAGGTTTCCAATGAGTTATATACTATCTCATGGAAAAAATCTTAAAGCGGGAGGGGAAAAATATAATAAACATTCTGTTCCCTCTTCACTATCTCTAAAACAATAGCAGCTGCTTTGATACTTACACTTCTGATGAAATCTCCCAAGTGTTAGCTGTATCTTGATTCTTTATCAAGATTTTTAAAGTAGAGTTTATAAATTATGTGATACACTCAATCACATTTCAGCATGTTATTTCGAGCACAAATGTCAAGAAAACCCTTTGGGCTAAAGAGGTGAAAAGTCTAAAAGGATGCTGCTTTTTTATTTATTTTTTTTAGGTCTCACTCAGGACACACTGAACATGCGCCTCAGCCCCTTTGGTGCAACTCATGCATCATATTATCAGCATCCATTTCAATCTGCTGATCCAGCCTTTTGCCCCATAACAAGAAATCGTGACAAGCTGTACAATTCACACTGAGATTAGTGCTTCTATTACACGCTTTGCTGGATATCAGGTCACTTTTTCTACTGTGTCAGTAGCAAGATGACTGTGTTAACTTGGTGCCTGAGGGGGCCTGCTTGAGCACGAGTCGTCTACCAGGCGGTTACTGCTACCCGTCTACTCGACATGTGCCTCCCTTAGAAACAATTTCTTTATTATTTTATTTTGCTGACAGTTGAAAATAAAGAACGCCCTTGCACAAAGTACTGGAAAGTATAAGGAGTTTGTTGCCACTTCAGGTGAACAGACTTGTAACAGTACAAGGTGAAATGCTGCCACTGGCTCTCCTAGCCCTTCAACTGTTTTGTCACACATTTATAAAATAAATACTTGGATGTGACTGAAGCAAAAAAATAAGGTAAACAACACATGACATCATGTAATGTCCTTCAGTAACGTTAGGTGACTTTATAGCCCACGAAAAAGTACGAAATCAAAGTAAATTTGCTCATTTTAGGGTGAAATAACTTATTGAAGGTTTTTGTTGCTAAGCATGTTCCACAAACTGTGTGTGTGCAGGCATTTGAGGTGTGTGTCCCGGTTAGCGGTGGCCGCGGCAGCTCCAGGAAGATCACCTACACCAACCCTTACACCAGCGGTCGCACGTTTGTGCTCCGCTCGGACCACCCGGACCTGCTCCAGTTCAAAGAGGATAAATTTCAGGTGAGATAAGATGGGCAAGTAGATACTTCTCTTCCTCCTGCTAAGACTAAAATCAATACTTTGATTAGCGCCTTGAAAAAAAAGCCTGTCAGACAGTTTCTTTCAGACAAAAGCTTGCTGTTTTTGTCAACACAGCGTAAACAATGTCACTAAAATAAGTCTTAATGACGGCAACAATGTTTTAATCATAAAAATGACAAAGTGAAATCAACCATTGCATTAAGTGTCAAAATCATCACTCTGCTCTTTATTCTTCTGTTAGACCTTGAGAAAACTTAGAACGGTGTTCTGATTGTTAAAGGTTTATTAAAAGCTCTAAAACATTTAATACCTACTAATAAACATATAGCAGTAACTTAGTGAGAAAGCATGAAATCTTAACTGTTCAGTCCTCGGCTGTTACAAGTTCAGGTCAGATTGAGAGCAACAACAACAACAACAAAAAATTACTGCTGCTGCTGTTTACTTGCTGTCCAATCAGCTGCTGCCTCTTCCTGATTCAGTTACCATTCTGCAGTAAAAGCAGGAGCTGATGTCATCATTTCTATTCATCTGAAAAATAGTTAAACCAATGAGAGATCATCATTTTCAGAAATAGATGTGGGAGATGCAATAGGGGCTTGTTTGCACACAAACAGTTCAGGAGTCGTGCTGTGTTTGGCCTGAAGACACCTCATCATTAGGAAGGAGGTGGGCAGGAGTAAGAAACAGCCCCCCCCCCCCCTTCTCACCTTGTAAGTGAGTCTCCGGGTATCTAATAACGATTCTGTGCCTGTAGCATTACACAAATGGGGATACCATTTTCTCTTTTATTTTTTTTACACAATGCAAGCTGTCAAGAGAGAGAGAGAGAGAGAGAGAAAAGAAAGAATAGATTAATACTGCTATGTTTTAGAAACATATTACAATATAAATTATCCTGATTGTCTCATATTTTTGTTTTGACTATTAACAAGAAAAGAAAAAAGAATATTGTCTAATTGAAACATTGTGAGCATAAAAAAAGGACCACATGTTTTCTTGCAGGCTATGGGCACTGACAACAAAAACATTGCAACATTCAGCACTTTTCTTACCTTAATTAGAGAGAAAAATTATCAAATTTGCAGACGTCATGGAGAAATGGGCAATTTAAACTACAATAAAAGAAAAATAAGACTGCAACATCAGGAGGTTAGAACGACTGAAAAACTATTTTGTCTTACCTTGTGTAATTATGTCTAAGTTTCAGAGATTATTCAATTAGACTAAAAACCCTAATGTTGTATGGAAAAGCTATATAATTATTTTAATATATCAGGCAGGGCTGTTAAACTGGTGGCCCGCGAGCCACATCCGACCTGCAGGTGGATTTTATCCAGCCTGCCAAAGATTTGATCGTTTTTTTTACTTCATTTATTACAAAATAGATTTTAAATCAATTATAAATTGAAAATGTATGATTCAATACAAAAAATGAACACATTTTAAAGGGGCAGTATCATGTAAAATCAATTTTTTTGAGTTTTATATCATGTTATAATGTTAGACTCTCATAAAAAAACATGCCCAAAGCCTTGCTCTGACTCATTCATGCATGTTTGAGAAATCCTGCAGCGTTTTTAGGGAGCCATGCTGAGGAGCAAAACGACAGGTGGGGACCAGAAACACCTATTGGGACCAGAAACGCCTCTGGGACGTGTCTTTGAGCCGAGCTTCCTCATGGCAGCCCCACACCCACCATCCCACACACACTACCCATGACTCCTGCAGGCTCTCGGGTGAAAGTGAAACTTAACTGTCTGCTGAGCTCCACTACTTCTCACTCAGTGAAGCTCTTTGAGGAAATGTATTTTCAGATGCCAAGTGAGCTGCATCATGGCAGCCCCCCCCCCCCCCCCCCCCCC